GCATTTTCCACAAACCTTTTTTGTGTATATCTGATTTATTTAGAATATAATTCCAACAGTGTATAAGAGTGCCCATTTAGAAGTATTTACCAATAATAGGAAAGAAGAACACAAGATATTTTATTATCAAAGGATTTTTTGATTATCAGTGACTTCAGATATTTATTAATCACTTATATTTCAACTCTGAATTGTCTTTTATGTTCTACAACTGTTTTTCTATTGCTATGTCTACTTTTTTCTCTTTGATATATAAAATCATATCTTAATATCTAAGATTATATAATCTCAAAGGCACTAAACCTTTCTCCTCTAAGTTTAAAAAAACAAACAACAGAGAAAGACAAATATCATATGATTTCACTTATATGTGGAATCTAAAAAGCAAAATAAATGAACCAACAAAACAGAACAGACTCATAGATACAGAGAAGACTGATAGTTGCCAGGTGGGAGGAGAGTTGGGGTCTGGGTGAAAAAGGTGAAGAAATTAAGAAGTACAAATTGGTAGTTACAGAATAATCACAGGGATGTAAAGCATAGCATAGAGAATAGTCAATAATGTTGTAATAACTATGTATGATGCCAGGTGAGTACTAGATTTATTGGGGGAATCACTTCATAAGATATATAAATGTCTAACCACTATGCTGTACACCTAGAACAAATATACTATTGAATGTCAACTGTAATTGGAAAAAATTAAAATGGAAATAATGATAATTGCATTGAGAAACTTTTGAATGGGTTTTAAGCAGAAGAGTGTCATGATTCTATTTACATTTTAAAAGTTCTCTTGGTGTTGTGTGGAGAACTGATCTTAGGGAGCCAAGAGCAGCTGCAGGGAGACCAGTTGGGGATCTGCCCCCGAAGACCAGGCAAGAGATGATGGTGACTGCGGCTATGACAGTAATAGAGATGGAGAAAAGTGAGAGAAATGTTTGGACTTGAGCTATGTTTCAGAAGTAGAGTCAGCAGGGTTTGCTGATGAATGGGGAAAGAATCAAGAATAATTCCTAGATATTTGGCTTGAGTAACTGGGTGGTGCCATTTAATGATAAGGAGGAAACTGGGGCAGAGGTAGGTTGTGTTTTATTTGAAATGATTATTAAACATTTACATGGAAATATCACGTGGATAGACCAGGTTGGAGTTCAGGTGGATACTTTGAATGTCATGTGACTGGGTGAGATCACCAAGGAGAATGTGTAGATAAAGAAGAGGAAAGGGTTTGGGAACAAAGCCTGGGGCAGTGAACACTTAGAGGTTGACGGAGGAAGAGAAATCAGCACAGGTGACTGAGGAGCAGCCAGTGAGACTGGAGAAAAACAAAGAGAATGTGACATCAGGAAAGGAATTGAGTGTTTCAAGGAGGAGGTAGGGTCGACCTCATGGAATTCTTTGGAAAAGTCAAATAGAGTCAGAACAGAAAAGTGATTTTTGGATTTGGCAACCTAGAAGTGATTGGTATTTTGGAAAACAGCAGTTTGAGTAAAATGATGGGGGCAGAAACCTAAACAGTGGAAGATTAGGATATACAGGGGTAGGCAAAAGTAGGCTAATAATAATAAATAATACAATAATTAATAAATAAATAATTATACACAAATACACTCTCTGTTTCATGTAACCCTACTGTTGCCCACCGCCATGTGAGCAATGTAAGAAGAGTGGGTTTTCTCTCTCATATCAGCGTGTAGCATAAAGACTAAATTTTTCAGAGCAATGGGATGAGCACTGAATAGCAGAGAATAGAAATTACTACTGCATTTGTCCACATACTTTCAATACAAATACAGTAAATCTAGTGGACACCATCACCATCTCGGTTGTTGTATTGGTTGAAGTAGAGCCATATCACTTCTGTTTTCTGCTCTTTGTCATCATGATCATCAACGTCTTTTTAGGGCCCTTGAGATCTACACCTTAGCTTTTGGTCAGGAAATAACAAAGCCTTTTTGTCGCCACATTTCCAGGCCTTCCTACTCATTCCAAAACAGTGAATTACTAAGGAAGAAGGACTCATGACCTCTAAAATGTTTAATGATCAGATCTTTGGACCCATGAGTGACAAAGGACTGTGACAGGGAGCAGTTCCCACTCTTCCTAACTGATGGGAATAGTTTGGGTTTCTGCCAGTCAATTCCCAGCTGCAATAATTAGTAAAGGGACTTCCTAAATTCCATGCAGCAGTCTCAGGCTGGGTCGTATTTCAAATGTGGAAGGTTGTATGGTGAGGGCAGGGGTGGTAAATTAAAGTAGGATCCCTTTATTTTCTAAATTTTTTGCGAAATTGAGTGGGAAATATATATATAATTTTAACTTAAGGTAGGGGAAGCATTTTGGAGACATTCGAGCAGATTAACAAATAGTATTTGTATACACGTAACTAAAACAGTGATTTATCAGGTAGACGGCAAGTGGGGGGAATCAAATGCCAACGTGTATCTACAGTTGGGTTGTGGTGATGATGAAGTGCTGTTTATTCAGGGCCAGCCCAGCTTGTCAGCAGCGTAAGAGCCATCGCCGCACATGACTCCCTGCGTAGCTGGAAGACAATCATAAATTATCTCCTATGCAAACAGCACCGGCATAAAAGCAGAACAAACAGCCTCTGCCTCCTGGACTCCTGAAGACTCTCACTCATTCCCTTGTTGGATTCACTTTTAAACATGAAACTCCTGACATTACCCTAAAACCAGTAAGATTTGGAACCTGGTCTGGACAATTTTATTAGGATAGGTAGGGCATAGTCGTTGAGGGTCTTTGTTTTGGGGTTACTGTAAAACTTAAGCATTTTCTTTCTTTAACATACTTAAGTGAGTCACATAAATCTTTGTTTTATCAATACTTTGTCTGATCCTGTGGAAAACTGGGAGGGTGTTACTCGAAGGTATTTGAGTCTAAGAATCACTTGAGATACATGATGAAATACAGATTCTTGATCTAATCCTCAAACTGCTAAATGAGAAGCTGCAAAGCAGCCCAGAAATACACACTCCAGGGTGATTTTTATGATGGGGATAGTGTGAGGGACAAGGAGCTGAGGGTGAGTCAGTGAGGCCCGCGGCAGCACTGAGATAACCCAAAGAAGTGCTTCACAGCGAGATATACCGGCTACCAAACACCACCCTAGAGCAGTGCTGTGCAGATTTCCATGTGCATCCAGATCACCTGGGATTTGTGGAAAAGGCAGATTCTGCTTCAGTGGGTCTGGGGCGTGGCCTGAGACTGCCACTGGACTTGAGTCCAGCAAGATCCTAATCCCAATAGATTGGCGCTCAGCCAGTATTTTGGAATAGCAAATGTTCCACTGGTATGGCTTTGAATAATGCTGATTCTACTGAATCCTAATCTTGTGCTTAGATGCCAGGAAAATCTGCTCTGTCCTGTTCGAGTGACCCAGCGGTAGTGTCCTGATAAATTTATTATATATAAAACTCTCGTAGAAATGTTGCGTCTTCTTTCAGGAGTTTATAAATGTATTTTGAGATTTTATGTACATAATTTAAAAATTTTTTAAATATTTTTTTAAATCTTTACCCAAGGATATTTTTTCCATTGCTTTCAGAGAGAGTGGAAGAGAGAGAGAGAGAGGTGAGGAGAGGTGAGGTGTGCAAGACCTTGTAGCCAAAAAGGGAAAGTGGCTTTGTGAGATGCCTAATGAGAGTGGCTGCCACAGGACAGAAAACAAAGACTCCTTGAGGTGTGGAACCTGGTGATGGGCTGAGCCTGCACATCTGCCAAGTGTCCCTTGTATCCTGTCAGGGGCCTCAGAGACATTGAGATTGAACTCAGTAGAATTAGAGTTCATGTGATATGGATATTTTAAATAGTCTGGTAAGTAGTCTAAGCCATAAACATCCACAAGTTTCAAAGAGTTACCACATACAAACATTAACCTGAGAATGGAAAAAATCTGCACCTAAATGCACCTTGCTGTTGTGCTCTTCACAGTGGTTATCTGAGGAGGGGTGTGGCACTTCCACCTCCCATGGTATGCATTTCTGTATTGCTTTACTGTTTTACCAGTGGCATGCATAATTCTGATGACTTTTGTAATAAAAAAATTAATAGAATTCTTTGTCTCTCTTGAGTGCATATTGTGGTGATTTTCATTAAGTAGCACAATACACTGTCAGTTGATTGATTATATATAGTGATCATATATATGCCATGTATATGCTGTGATAGAGGATTATGTAGCACAGATTGATTTTGTGTATGTGTCTCTTCAGGTATTTCTTGAGCAACTAGTATATGCCAGGCATTGCTCTTCACTGTGTTTCTTTAAGAAAAAGAGACAGCCATGCCAGCAAAGTGGTTCTCATCATAGTTAATAAAACTTGAAAAGGCTGGCACACTTTCCGAGGGTGATGTGAGCCACAGGGCTGGGTACTCCGTGGGTACAGTCGCTGTCACCTTTTCTGCAATTATTCATCTCTCCTTAGTTGCCACATAGAACAAGCAGATCTGACATCACAGCCTTTACACTAATCTTCTAGACATCTACACTGGGATAAAAAGCATTCAGTGAACTCAGCTAGGTTTATCCTTAGGAATTCTGCTTGGAGTTAATAATAATCATTAGAAAACAGTTACGGAGAAGAAAATAACTTCCTACTTGCTATTTTTCTAGTGACAGGTTGCAATAACAGCAGATATCCCTATGTCCTAGGAGCAGTAAGAGGAAATGTATGTTTTAGAAAGTCAGTCTTTGAATAAATATTTTAGGAAAAAAACAGAGATTCTGTTTCTTATCTAAACTTCTTAATAAAAATAACAAAGGCTCCTTCTTTTCTTGGTTCAGGAAAACAAACAGGCAAGGTATGTCTTAGGCCATCACATGAAACTTTCCAAACTTCCTTGACGTGTTTATTTCACTTGTATCTAATAATATATATCTGTCATAATACATCATAAGATTGGACAAATTTGTGGCAAACTGCCCAGCGCTGAGCAGTTTGGCATTAACATCAAATGGCCTGTTGTTGTTTCAGAACTGCATGTTCCGCAGCAGCATCGCCACTGACCTGAAAGCATTTACAGACAAGTTCGGCTTCGACGTGCTCATCGTCTTGGCCCGCTCCCTGTCGGAGGAGCAGCGGCCCAGGCAGCAGATCGCCGTGTACTCCGAGAACCTCGAGCTGTGCAGCCAGGTAAGGATCTCCTCCGACCCTGGCACGTTCCCCCCCAGCCTGACCTGCTTGCTCTCAGAGCAGGGGGTGGAAGATGGGAATGGATTGGTGGCATTAAGAAAATGGCCCAGGACGTAAAGTCCTAGAGTTTGAGGTTTAAGAAATGTTGGGGGTATTTTGTACATTGGGCCTTTTAAAAGAGCCCCATGACCATTTCTCTTCTAGAAGGAATTTATGGAGAGAGATAGATCGTAGCTGTCCTACCCAAAGGAGGGCCAGTCCTCCTTTGGGTACTGTTTTCTTAGTCCCTGCCTGAATGCCTGTTTGGTCTCCAAGTGTTGAATAACTGGTGATCTGATGCTTTAATCAAAGTTAGTCTCCAGGTACTAAAATTCTGACTGTGTAATCAGTTGGACCCTCTTGGTTGAGAGCTGAATCTTTTAACCCAAGGCTATGGAAACTATATAAAATGTAGACAAAATTAATCAAAATACCAAACCAGGTGTATTTAATAAGTAATATGAGAGTATACATGATTCATTATAATATGGACAGCACAGCCTAGAATGGTTTCATCAACCAGTCTTTCTTCACTAATGGATTAGATAACTCGTGTATCCACACGTGGCCAAGGGCAAAGTCTCGACTCCTTTCTTTTCTACATCACTTTCTGTTTCCCAAGAGATTCATCTTAGCTTTCTTGACATATGACTGTAAGGACTCCTCTGCGCTTTCTCATGTCCAAATATGAAAAAGGCCCTTGTCCCTGCTACAGATGCATTTTGTACCATCTTTCTGACCCACATACCTCTGTGTGTTGTGTCATCAGCCTAAGGCTTTTTCAGTGCTTTGCTCTGCCTTGGGTTTCAAAGCTGAAGTTTATCTTTGGTTACTGATTTCCTATGGACAGGAATTAGGTCTTCTCAGCCTTCAGTATGGTAGGTTTTCAAATCACTTTTAGTAGCAAACAAATTTTTTAAATGGTTAATTTAAAATAGATTGAAGTAGAAGTGCAGATGAAAGGGTTAGAAGGCCTTAACTTATTCTACCCCACCTCTCCTTTCCTCACCCACCCTCCCCGCCCATCACCAAGAGACAGCTCTTTGGAACCTTGAGCAACACAGGGTTGGGACTACTCCAAAGGAATCCCTCTTTGTTCATGTGGTCACTGTTAGTCAAGGGTCAGCATCTGCAGTTCGACTGTCTGAGTTCAAAATGTGGCTCCTTCACTTGTTAGTTGCATGTGGTTGGTCAAGGTATTTCATCTTCCTAGGTATCTCTGTTGACTCATTGGCAAAATGGGGTGATAAGTTGCTACCTTGTCAAATTATTGTGAAGATTAAAGGAGATAATGCACATAAAACTTTTAGAACTGGGCCTGGCATATGAAAACATTCAATAAATGTTAATTAGTATTATTATTAATCATTATTATTATGTTTGCGAACTCTGTGGTTATTGTTGATGTTGTTATTGTCACTAATCTCATGGGACCATTTCAAAAGCCCAGTGTGCAAAATATCCCCAACACTTCCTAAAAATCAATGAGCTGCAGCCCAGTTCTGGCCTTGCACTGACTGTCACACATTCTCTTGGCCTCCCAAGTCAGCTGTGTCTGCCCTGGACTCCATGCCGACTCTCCCTGAGGCAGGAGGGGGCAGTTGGGGCCTGGGTGCTATTGGAAGGTTCTGCTTCTTGCAGCTGCTTTTTCTTTCATACTTTCTCCTTGGCTTTATGAGGCTGAGGCCCTGGCTGCCTGCTGCTAAACAAAGCCTTTCTCCTGCCCCATTTCCCTTTATTCCAACATTTTCCCACAAGTCCTTGTCAGCAACCAGCATTATTTCTGGTTTTTTCAAACTTGAAGAAAGTTTGCACTTTTTTGCATGCTTCCACTTCTCTTGGAAGATGGTGTTATATTACACTGAGGAAAAGATTTAAATGGTTTAGATCTCTTTACCTATAACTTCCAGAAACCAGAAAAAGTGAGCCCCTGGATTTCGAGTTCAATGAAAAGCAAATTTGATAGCAGTGGAGAAAGAGTTGATGATATATTTAGTGAGACTTCCCATGTTTCACATCACACCTTTTGAGTTCTTTTCAGACAGATGAACACAGATTAATTTTATATTAAGAAAAATTAAGAAAGACTAATTGCAAAGAGCAAAGAGGCCCTGGGTGCTCATGCAAACCCCTGTCTCTCCAACAGATCTGCTGTGAGCTGGAGGAGTGTCAGAATCCTTGCCTTGAGCTGGAGCCCTTTGAATGTGGCTGTGATGAGATCCTGGTGTACCAGCAGGAGAACGCATCAGTGACTTGTGACCAGGTGGTTCTCCTTGTCAAGGAAGTCATCAATAGAAGGTGTCCAGAGATGATCTCCAACAGCCGGACGTCCTCCACAGAAGCCGTGGCAGGCAGCGCCCCGCTCTCCCAGGGGTCATCCGGGATAATGGAGCTGTACGGCTCTGACATTGAGCCACAGCCCAACTCTGTGAATTTCATAGAAAACCCTCCAGATCTCAGTGATTCTAATCAGGCCCAGGTGGATGTCAACACAGACCTCGTTAGCCCAGATAGCGGGTTGGCCACCATTAGGAGCAGCCGTTCATCCAAGGAAAGTTCGGTTTTCCTCAGTGATGACAGCCCAGTAGGAGAAGGTGCTGGGCCTCACCATAGCCTCCTCCCAGGGTTTGACTCCTACAGTCCCATCCCTGAAGGGGCGGTGGTGGAGGAGCATTCCCTGTCCAGAGAACATAGGGAACACTTTGACCTCTTCAACTTTGACCCAGCACCCATGGTTTCTGGACAGTCCCAACCCTCTTCCCATTCCGCTGACTACTCCCCAGCAGATGATTTCTTCCCCAACAGTGATTCGTCAGAAGGACAGCTCCCCATGGGACCTAAGGGACTCAATGGGATTGGGATGGACACTTCTAATTACTCATCCAGCTCACTTTTGTCAGAGGCTGGCAAAGATAACCTTGTGGATTTTGATGAGGAGTTTGTCCAGAGACAAGAAAGTCCTGAGGATAACTCTCAAAGAAACTTGAGCCTGACAGGTTTTGTGGGAGATGAATCTCTTTCTCCAGAAAGGCTGGAAAATGTTGGAAAGAGGGTCCCACCAACACCTATGAATAGCTTTGTAGAAAGCTCACCATCCACTGAAGAACCAGGTCTACTCTATTCAGAAAACAAGACCCAAAAACCAGTCGATGCAGGTCCCACAGGGCCACCTCACACACGTGGGCGGTGCAGCAGCTGGTGGGGTGGCTTGGAAATTGACTCTAAAAATATTGCAGATACCTGGAGTTCCAGTGAGCAGGAGTCTGTCTTCCAGAGCCCCGAATCCTGGAAAGAGCATAAGCCAAGCCCAGGGGAGAGGAGAGCCTCAGATTCTATATTTCAACCAAAGAGTCTCGAATTCTCAAAGTCAGGTCCCTGGGAGTCAGAATTTGGTCAGCCCGGGCTGGGCAACAATAACATTCAAGACCAAAATGAGGAAAGCTTGCAGTTTCAGAGCCTGCCCGCTGAGAAGTCGCATTTGCCAGACGCTCCTCCTCGGGGAACAAACCATCTGATAGATGACTTTGCTGCTCTGTGGCGTTCTGATCGCTCTCCCACAGCCATGCCTGCACCGTGGGGCAATCCCACGGATGACGGTGAGCCAGCTGCCCCAGCATCATTCCCAGCCTGGGGTGCATTCGGTAAAGAAAATGACACTGAGGCTTTGAAAAATACCTGGAATCTGCACCCAACGAGCGGTGAGACACCTTCTGTGAGGGACCCGAATGAGTGGGCCATGGCAAAAAGTGGATTTTCTTTTCCTGCAGAAGACCTGGTGGACAATTCGGCCAGTGAGGCAAATAATGAAACAGCTCCAGAAATCTGGGGCACCAAGAACCATGACTCCAGGGCTAACATCCTTATGCCTGGAAACCCCAGGTCTGATCTGGATCATGCCTGGGATAGTGCTAAGCCAGCAAAGGATCAGGACGGTGGCCTGGATCCAAAAATTAGGGGGAATGTGTATGAAAAGGTGGATTCCTGGAACCTTTTTGAGGAGAGCATCAAGAAAGGAGGGTCGGATGTCCTAGCTCCTTGGGAAGATTCCTTCTTAACATATAAATGTTCCGATTACAGTGCATCCAACGTAGGGGAAGATTCAGTGCCCTCCCCCTTAGATACTAACTATTCCACCTCTGATTCTTATACATCACCAACATTTGCTGGAGACGAAAAAGAAACCGAAAACAAGCCATTTGCTAAAGAGGGAGGTTTTGAGTCAAAAGATGCTAACTCTACCACGGAGGAGGCTGAAATCCCAGCCCAGTCACCGCTGCAGGCCCCGAAAAAACGGGTGACTTCAGGTCCTGGGAACCTAGAAATGTGGGCTCCACCTCATGCAGATGATAGTTCTGAAATAAATGCCACTCGCAGCCCAGATAAGGATTTACCGAAGACAGAGCCCACAGATGACAAGGACGCCTCCCTGGAGGATGACGCTGGAGAAAGCAGCCAGTCGAGCTCCGACGACCCCAGCATGATGCGGCTGTATAATGAAACCAACCGGCAGCTCACGCTCCTGCACAGCAGCCCCAGCTCCCGGCAGGCGGCGCCCGACAGCCTCGACCTGTGGAACAGAGTCATCCTGGAGGACACCCAGTCCACTGCGACCATCTCGGATAACGATTTGGACTGGGATGACTGCAGCGCGGGCGTGGCCATCCCTGGGGAAGGTCGGGCACAGGAATATGGGGCTGAAGGCACCGAACCCGAAACCCGGTTCTCAGTGAGACAGCTAGAACCGTGGGGCGTGGAGCACCAGGAAGCAAATCAGGCCGACTGGGGCCTCCCTGCTTCTTACGAGCCCGGCGAGGATGCGGCTCTCAGCCAGCATCATGCACTGAATGAAAAAAGTGGACAACTCATCGCGAATAGTATTTGGGATTCTGTCATGAGAGAGAACAACGTGGCATCATTAATGTTACCAGGTCCATCGTATGTTACAGATTCAGAAGAGAGCAGATTGCCTCCCGAAACTCCCAGCTCATCGGAAAACATTAAGGACAGTTCCAGTTCAGACGTGCTAGGAACCTCTGGAGCCAGTGAGTCAGGAGCATTTGGTCCAGACCAGAAAGACACATTCAGAGGAAACCTGCCAGGCGATACAGCGCCCCTGGCAACCAGGCTGGAGAACCCAGGGCATTTCGTAGGCTCAGATCCATGGAAAGGTCCTAGCTATGGAGAAAGTGAAAGTGAGAAGGAAACCCACAGAGTCGTAGATAGGGAGCACCTGAGTGAGGAGGAGAACCCAGGGCATTTTGTAGGCTCAGATCCATGGAAAGGTCCTAGCTATGGAGAAAGTGAAAGTGAGAAGGAAACCCACAGAGTCGTAGATAGGGAGCACCTGAGTGAGGAGGAAGTGACAGATGGAGCCTTGGGGACTTCTGGAAAAGGACAAGGTGACCAGGAATGCTCTTCCTTAGTTGCATCTGAACATGAAGAAATCTGTGATGAGTCAGGCAAAATCAGCTCTCTTTCAGTCACTTCAAGTCCTCAGACCGAGGAACCCCAGGAGGTTTTAGAGCATGAGAAGGGATCTTACAATTTAGACCCCTGTGATGTGCAAACAGAGGTGCCCACAAATCACCTGCAGGCAGGAGAGACCTGTGAAAAGCACTTCATGAATCACAGAAATTCAGGTGAAACTACTGAAATTTCAGATAGGCCGAACTTAACAAAAAGTGTATCTTTTCCTGAAATGAATCTTGAGAAAACTGAAGAATATAACATTCTGGAGCCAGAGAGAGTGAACCAAGAGCCATCTCCTGAATGTCCCCAAAGCCTTGATGTTTGGGATGGCCCTGTAGACAGTGATGTGCAGGTCAGTTACACAAGTTCTGACACAACTAAGAATCTGGAAGGTAAGAGTGCTGAAAGCAGCCCTCCGGCAGCCAGTTCATCCGGAAATTACGACAGAGACAGCATTTCTAGTGAGTGTACACATTCCAGTGCATCAAGTCCTGACCTCAATGATTCTTCGGCTGCACTGCTTTCTTGGGATCATGGACCCAATACTGGGCATCAGGAGGAGACTCAAGATGATTGGAGTAAAGAATCTGGACTAATTACTACTGATGACCAACTAGAAGTGATTACCGAAATGAAGGACCCAGAGGAAAACAGAATGGATGGGTTTGAAAGGAGATTAGATCACAAGGTTCCTAAATATTTGGAGATATGGAATGACTCGATAGATGGTGATTCCTTTTCCTCTTTATCCAGCCCTGAAACAGGCAAATATTCTGAATATTCAGGTGCATATCAGGAAAGAAATCTAGTGGTTAGCCATCAGGAGAAAAATGAACCTGATATTCCTGACACTGTGCAGCCGGAGGATGCCAAGTCCACTTCAACAAGCTCAGGTTCTGATGATGACAGTGTAGGTAATGAGGAGTCAGTGGAGAAGGAGAGCAATCTGGCCACTTCCCAGGTTGCTCAGAGTGAACCCAGAGCTTGGGACTCATTCAATGAACCTACTAAGCTCTTGGCCACGGCAGATCCCAAGTCTGAGGAGTTATCTGCCTACGTAGGCAGTTCAGGACCAGCAGAGAATGAGGCTACATCAGACCCGTTCTCTGACCATCAACAAAGCAGCCCTGATCACGGCGATTTCTCACCACAAAAGGAGAGTGACATACAGATAACAGCAGCGGATAAGGAGACCAGATCTCCAGGAACAGGGAAGGCAGGAAATATCATATGGCAAGTATCTCCCAAAACTGAACCAAAGAATGAAAACTATTCTAAACTGGAAATGCTTGACTTCTCAGCCGAGGGCACTGAGTGGTGGAATGCATCTCTCCAGGAAGGGCAACCAATGGAGAGTGCATTTGAAGGGGAACTATCTAACTCAGGTGGTATGTTAGAGATGAAGCCTTCAGTATACCAAAATGTCGGTCCCTGGGGCGTACCCATTCAGGGTGACATGGAATCCATGGAAACATATTGTACTAATCCTTTCAATGATGAACATCAGTCATCCTTTCTGGATAGTAATGGGGACAACACCCATGAGCAACTTTGGAACATTCAACCAAGGCAGCCAGACCCAGAAGCTGATCAGCTTAGCCAGCTTGTAGTATTGGACCAAATTAAAGAAAAGGATCCCAGAGAGGAAACTTTCACATCTTCTGCTAGTGACAAACTCACTCCTGAAACACCTACCCAAGAGCAGTGCCCCGATACAGTGCTGTCCGTCTGGGATCAGACAGACCGAACACTTACTCACATGGATGAAAATGGAGGTGTTCTATCTAATGCCTCAGCTATTGAGTGTCAAGAAACAAATTGGTGGGAGGAAGAAAAATCGTACCCCAGTGAAATGACAAATTCAAGCATTGCCTCAGAAAATTTACCTGCTGTCAGTTCTTCTACCCAGTTGATAAAGAAGTCAGGTGCTGAATGGAATGGCTCTACTCCTAGTGAGGGCCCCCAAAGCACGTTTGTTCCAGATATCTTACATGGCAACTCTCAAGAGGGTGGGCAGCTGGCCTCAGCTTCACCTGACTTGTGGATGGATGCTAAACAGCCCTTCAGTTTGAAAGCAGATGGTGAGAATCCTGATATACTGACTCACTGTGACCAGGACAGCAATTCTCAGGCTTCCAACAGCCCTGATATTTGTCACGATCATGAAGCCAAGCAAGAGACTGGGCAGCACATGAGTGCTAGGATAGGACCCACAGGGGAAGCCAGTGAGTTATATCTCACAGAGCCGAAGTTGGATGAAGAACCCAATCACGAGCCCGGGCAGGAACTTGTTCCATACAATTCAAAACTATATTCTGAAAACACAATTCCACTGCCTCCAGCCAGCGATCAAGCAAACACTAATGGCTCATCTCAGCCTGCTGCCTCTCACAATGATTCTCCCGAACCTTCTGAAATAAATGATGAAAATGACACAGGTTTAAAAGCATCAGAAAAAGGAGCCGATATGGCGCCAATCTTGGAACCCACGGACAGAGCAATCCCAGTGATTAAAGAGGTGGGAACCAGTATTTTTGTAACTCACCAAGAGCCAACCATGGACGGCAACGGGTCTTGGATCTCAGAGGACTTTTCTCCTGAAAGTCAGACAGGTGAAGCAGCCTTGTTGGACCTTGAGCAACCTTTGACTGCTGAGAACCCTGCCTTGGGTCCTGACGCTCTGCTAGCCTCAGACACTTGTCTGGATGTCAGTGAAGCTGCCTTTGAACACAGTTTTAGTGATGCCTCAGGTCTCAATACGTCCACGGGAACAATAGATGACATGAGTAGATTGACATTATCAGAAGGCAACCCTGATACGCCAGTGGATGGGGATGCTGGGAGGCAAGATATCTGTTCATCTGAAGCCTCGTGGGGTGATTTTGAATATGATGTCATGGGCCAAAACATTGACGAAGATTTAATGAAAGAGCCTGAGCACTTTCTCTATGGTGGTGACCGTCCCTTGGAAGAAGATGCTCTGAAGCAATCACTGGCACCATACACACCTCCCTTTGATTTGTCCTACCTCACAGAACCTACTCCTGGTGTTGAAATGACAGGGGAAGCTGGGACTCCAGAGGATAAGTCTCTGGGGAGTGAAGCAGGAGAGATATTACTTTCTGCTCTTCCTGATCTAAGCAGCAAGGAAAACCACACTGAGCCCCAAGTCAGACAACCTGAACGCCAGCTGGCTGTACTACATATTCACGAAGAGCCCGAATCAGTTACTTTGCCTGGAAGGGGCGACTCCAACATGGAGTTGTCTCCATCCAACATCGACTGGGAAGCAGAAACAGATCATTCCGATTCACCAGCAGGTGGAGACATAGGACCATTAAACGGTAAGAAACATCCCACTCCACCAACCCCCAGAAACTGCTGCTTTCATTCAGGTAACCCGTTTGTAAAACACACTCTTCCTACCAGTGTGAGTGAACAGGAGCTAACCACGTTTGCAGTACAGCCTAATCAAACCCTCCTCTACCACAGCGGTAACATCTGCTGAGTGTGTAATACCTGTCTTTGAGAGTACATGAGAAGGTTAAACAGATTTTTTTTGGTATAAAGTGTCTTTTTATTATTTACATTCAATATTATTTTGTATTAGTTTCAGGTGTAGAGCATAGTGGTTAGGTAATCATATATTTTACAAAGTGTTTCCCTTGGTATTTCTAGTACCTACCTGGCACCATACATAGTTATTACAATATTATTGACTATATTCCCTACACTGCACTTTACATCCTATGACTATTTTGTAACTACCAATTTGTGCTTCTGAATCCCTTCCTCTTTTTCACCCAGTGCCCTCCACCCCCTCCCAATGGCTACCATCTGTTAAACAAATATTTCTTAAATTATCTCGCTTTAGATGGATCATTTGCAAAGATTACAAATCACATAATGTGTTAATTAAGCCTTGTTTCTTCTCTTCTCACCTTCATCTAGGTGCCAACAAGAGAATATCGGAGTTTGCAGAAGAAGCAGTAATTCCTACTGAGGAGCCTGAACAGATAAAACCAGAATGTGGGGAAGAAAGGAACACAGAGAAAAATGAAGAACATCAAGCACAACACATGGACTACATACTTGTCAATCATGAAGAAAATTCACCTCCAGAGCCAGAGGCCTGTGAAGCCAGAGAAAGCATATCTGAATCAGAAGAGTCTCATGTAGGTTCCAAACCAATGGGGCTGCAAGGAGCTCAGTCAGCAAGCTTCCCAGACACCTGTCAGCCTGACTCCTTAAATGAAAGACAAGATCATTCTACAGAGAGAATGTCTTCCAAAGCTGATACGAGATCATCCCTTGAAAGCCCTGGGCAAGAACAGAGCTGGTTGGTCTTGGGCCATAGTGAGGTTGGCCATTCATCACCAGAAGCTAGGGACAAAAGGCCTGAATGGCCTGACAGGGCTGTGGAGCCCGCCTCTGATCATAACCTGAGCATGGGTCCCCAAATGCAGGCCCTGGAAGAAACAAAGCCTCTAGAATCTGTAGCGATAGAGGAAGCCTCTGGTCTGGGCAGCCAATCTCGGAAGAGCAAGAGACGAAGCAGGGCTGGCCCAGATGCAGTTCTGTTGCAGACTGTCACCCATGACAGTGAATGGGAAATGCTGTCACCACAGCCTTCTCAGAAAAACATAATCCCTGCAACGGAAATGGAGGAGGAAACAGAGTTTCTTGAGCCCAGAACAAGGAAACCAAGACCAAACGGGTAAGCAAAAAGCTCGATTTATTTTTTTTTCCTGAAAACTATTGTATTAGAAACCAGGGAGATGGGGAGGGATAGTGGAATACTAAGAACACCTAGCTTTGCTTATAATCATTGCAGAGCATACGAAAATAAAAGCAGCTGCTGGGTAACCATAATGAAAATGATGATTTGTATATATTTTCAACCAAAAAAGCCCCTTCAGTTTCCACCCAGAATCTTATACTCACCTTCCCATTATTTATCCTGACTCCACCTGGTCAACACCAGTATCACTCTTATACAAGGCCCTTGGAACTGGAGTGGGGAGGGCACCGACATGTATTCATGGCACCAACCAGTTTGTGACATTGTCTTATTTAATCCTCACAACAACTCGAAGGCAGTAGGTATTAGTCTCTTTATTTTACACATACCGATGAAGGGAGGGCACTTACGGGTCAGAAAGATTCTATGACTTGCCTAGAATTAAGTAACCAAAGTAAACAGTCTGGGATTCAAAGTGTTCTACCCCCAAAGCCTATACTTTCCAGCAGATGCACAGAAAAGGCGATTAGGTAAGTACCTAACTTACCAGGAGACTCAACGGCAGACTGAAAACCTTCGTGCGAAACATCATTCCTTAATTGGCCGGAAATTCGGCAAACAACCATCCAACCAGTGATTCATTCATTGTTTCACTCATCTCATGGTTTTTGGGCATCTGCTCTGTGCCGAATGGCTGGGTAGCCAGTGGACATGAAGCAGGGAACAGAATGTCAGCCCTGCCCTCAAGCACCCAGGCCCTGCTGACACTTTTTAGGGTTGTTCGTGTTTCTTTTCATTTGCCCTTCAGCTTCTAGACAAAAGGGAAAATTGTGAAAAGTAACTTAAGAAAAGGGGTAAATCATGTTTCCCCCTTAAAATGCAGTGGAGAAAAGATATCTTTTTTTCTGCTCATTCTAGGAGTATAAAGGACTATATACACCACGTAGCCAACTGTGGATCCAGGAAACTGGACTCCAGCCTGACTCTATTGTATCAGTTATTTATTTTAGTATAACCCTAAGCGTAAGTTTCCTCATCTGTAAAACCAGTGGGTTGGGCTGGAGGATGTCAAGCCTTCCACTGGTAGCAAATCCTGCAGATTTAATTTGTGTGTAAATACAGTGTATCCAGGAGAGCCTTGGTACTCACAAATTACATTTCTCCAGGAAGGGAACAGAGAACACACGGAGTAGCAGGGGTACGTTGAGGCTTAGTAAAGTGCCACAAAGAGTTAAAAGCTGTGCCATATTCTAGTGCAGCTTCACAAATCCAAACATTTTCAGTTGGTCTAATCTTTTTTTCTTCCTGTCAAGCTATTTCCTTCCAGAGACGCCAGATCCGTTATCAGAAAGAGAGTAGCAGATGGATCCCAGCAGCCCTGCTGGCATTGTTATAGATTGAGCTAAGAACTCAGGCATCCTGGAGTTGGCTGAGCTATTGTTTGGCTTCTCGTCTGCATTTTGCACATGCCCCTAAAATCAAACAGATGATAGTATTCCACTGGGCCACTTGCCCCTTTTCTTTTAATAAGATTTCTTCGCTCATCCTTTTGCTCAGCTTTTGCAGTAATGAAAGTTTTCTCACCGTTGGGAGAGGGGACAGATTTTCCTGCTGGCATTTGTATTACCTGTTGCATAAATAACTTACTTGGAAATATTTGTATTATTAAAATATAAGTATTATTACCTGTATTAATACTAGTGTCAGAATGTTAGTATGCTTGAAAATTTCCCTCTGTGCTAGATTTTGGAGGAGGCAGAGTTGCTTAAAGCAGTGATTCTGTAAGTGGGGTCCAAAAACCAGCGGCCTCAGCATCACCTATGCATCAGTTATAAATGCAGATTACCAGCCCCACACCAGACCCCTTGAATAAGGAACTCAGACGGGGTCCAGCCATCCGTGTTTCAGTACCGCCTCCAGGTGATCCGGGTGCATGCTTAAGTTTGAGAGCCACTGGTCTAAAACTTATTCCCAGCCCTCCAGGAGTTTACAGTTTAATAAGGGAGTTAAACATAGGTGAAAAGGTAAATAACAATACAATACTTAAATGAAGATGACTAATGATCGGTACCTGTTTAAATAGAAATTGCTACCAATTACAAACGTTTGCCGTGGACCAGGTACTAAGCACTGTGTGCGTGATCTCACATCACCATGGCAACTGTATGAGGTAAGAATTATACAGAGGAGGAAACTGATGTTCAGAAAGGTTGCCTCACTTGCTCTGGTTTATAGTTAAAAAGTGAAGAAGCTGGGATTAGAATTCGAGCCTCGCTGTGTCCGGGGTGTGTGTTATGCTAGTAAGAGGAGAGGCGTCTATGTAGGGCGTTTCTCCAGGGGAATCAGGGGCGGCTTACTATCCAGTAGGATCAGGAGGCAGAGTGCCCGGGGCCCTTTATACTTCAAGGGGGCCAGGGGAAGCTTTGAATTTCTTTTAAAGTCGAAAGGAAAAAATGATTACTGGATACTCCTTTGAGGATTATATTTCTTTCTGCCAACAAGGATATAAAATAAATTCTTAGGTTTCTTTTTTGTAACGAAGGAAGGAGCCCATGAAGGCAAAAGTGCCTAAGGCCCATGAAAGTCATACTGCACCCCCCAGGATGCAATTCCAGATGGACACTGATGAAAGCCACGATCGGGAAAGGCACAGAAGGCAGGGAGAGGCCAGCCAATATGACAAGGTCGCCATATTTTCCCAACCCTAAACCTGGAAACATATTCTAACAGACGATCTCATCCTAGGACAGAGTACCCAAAATCATGGCTGTCCTGAGAACAAAAATCAAAACCGGGTCTTGAAGAATAGAAGTGGGCCCGTAGTACATGCGATATGACACACCAGCTACAAATCGGCCTCCTGCCCTCCCCTCATCCCAGCGCAGCCCCTCCCAGCGTTCACACTGTTTTGAGAGCAGTGAGCCCTATTTTTAAAACCTGAGGAAGATTAGATGATTTTTCTTCTCGCCCTCCACCTACTGACTCTATTTCATAAAACTTGTTGAGTACTGAGAGATAAACTCTCTCCCTTATGATTCTCAGTGCTGTGTTTTAGTTCCCTAGGATCAATCTTCCCGGAGGCTTTTCCCAACACCTTGGTCACCCTCCAGCTACAGACCCGCCAGCTCAGGATTGTGCACTAATTCCCGAGACAGTGATGGATGGGCCTGGTCTTTCCTGTGTGGTCAGAGAAAGTGCAGAGTAATCAGCAGCACACAAGCTTCCTTGAAAATGAAGAACCATTTTTATGTTTATTTTAAAGAAGCCACAGTTGCAAGGATGTCAAATGAAGGAAGGATAATTTGATTATATATTAATCAGGGTTCTCCAGAGAAATAGAGCCAATAGGAGCAATAGGAGATTGGATAGATATAGATAGATAGATGATAGATAGATGATAGATAGATAGATAGATAGATAGATAGATAGATAGATAGATAGATAGATAGATAGATGATTGACAGAAATTGTTTTAAGGAATTGGAATTGGCTCACATAATTTTAGGGACTGGCAAATCTGAAATCTGTAGGACAGGCCATGGGCTAGAAACTCAGGCAAGAGTTATTGCAACCTTGAGGCTGAATTTGGCAGGGTAGTGAGTCTGTGTGTTGCAGAGAGTTCCTTCTTTTTTGGGAACCTTCAGACTTTGCTCTTAATGCCTTCAGCTGATTAGATGAGGCCTACCCATGATCTGGAGAACAATCTGCTTTACTCAAAGTCTGCTGGTTTCAATGTTAATCACATCTGAAAAATACCTTCATAGCAACATTTAGACTGGCGTTTCACCAAAGAACTGGGCACCATAGCCTAGCCAAGTTGACATGTAATGGTAATCATCACAGGTTATATTCAAAAGCCTGAACTACATGCTAAGGAAGCATGAAACCATTACCATTTATAAACTCACCATCTGAATTACATAAAAATGGAACAATTGATATACAAATATATTGGCTTCCTGTAGGTGTGGGGCAAGGAAATAGCTATGCAGGGTGATGAAAGAAAATAATTCCCAAGAGGACTAAAAAAATGACAATATTTGTCCAGTCTTTTGTAACTACATGCAGCAGTGGGTAGTGGGAAAGGGAGTGAGTGGGGAGAGGGAAAGGGAAGGATGGGATAGTAGCTATTGTACTTTTGAAACGGAGTCTTTGTTAGTAACTGGATCCTTATGTTTATAGAGCTATATATCTTGTCTCCTAGCTCTGAGAGGTGAGTTACTGGGTACTCCCTAAAATAAAAAATGACCTTCAAACACAGTACATTTCATAGTACACATCACCTGCTTCTCATGGCGATGTCTGTATATTCTCTTTAAATTAGTCAATTTTGAACTTTTTTTCTGTGTGGCAAGACTATAGAAAGAATTCACATTCTTCCCTGTGACCTCATTAGATCTTTTCATGTTTTTCATGAGTCCTTCTAAAATCAGGCTTTCTGTCCATTACTTATGGTTGAGGAGTTAGTTCATTGGGTCTCACACCCATGTGAATGTTGAAAATGAAAAACAGATAAAGAAATCATCTGTTCCCTCTTTCTCTCCGTATTGAGTGATGATATGTTTGGGCACTCAGAGAAGAATGAGGCTCTTTGAGCACATTCTGCCCCCTCCCTGGGTCCTACTGTTTGGATGGGCTCTATCCCAGTTCCAAACATTTGCCCTTTCTCTGAGGTAAGTTGACACTCCATAAACTACAGCTTTCCCTGGTTTATTTACTGTTTATTGGCTTTGCCCTGAACTAAACCTGGAAGACCAGCTTTGGCACCGACTCTGTTCACTTTTGTAATTGTATTTGACTATTTGGTGAGTTGGTGGTGATAATTATCATTAAAAGTCTTTAAATTTGCACTTTAATTCAAGCCTTAGTCTCCTCTTTTATTTTATTCTATTATTTTTTAATATACCTTTATTGATTTCAGAGAGAGGAAAGGAGAGGGAGAGAGAGATAGAAACATCAATGATGAGAGAGTAGTT